AGCAGCATCTTTTTTCTCAACGTGTACAGTAGCCCTAAGGACCGACGACAGCGTTTCAGGGCCCTCGTAAAGAAGGCAGTCAACCTGGCGGGTCCCAACCCCCTGGTTGTGGCAGGTGATTTTAATGCTCCGCACCACAGTTGGGGCTACCCGTACAATACCAGCAAGGGCGCGGAACTGTGGCAGAACGCGACTGACATGGACCTGACTCTAATCACCGACAAGGCCTTTCCAACTCGGTTGGGCACCTCATCCTGCAGAGACTCGACTCCTGACTTGACCTTCGTGAAGAATCTCCCCGATGTACTGTGGGCCAACTCGAACATTGACTTAGGTAGCGACCATTACGTCCTGGTGACGCAGTTCTTAGTGGTTGAAAGAGGGCACGGGAGTTTTTTTGGACAAACTGGGACCAGTTTCGCAAAGTCCGCAATGACCGACCACTACCTGCAACCAGGCCAAGCCTCGAGCAGTGGATTAGCCAGCTCAGAGAGGACGTCATAAGTACCACGAAAAATATTAGTACTGACCTTCCGGTTGAAAAAATGAACAGCCGCCTTGCCCAACTGCTCGAGGCCAAGCAGTCACTTCTTGCCCACTGGAAAGGCCAGCGCCTCAATCGCAGGTTGCGAAAGAAAATCTCCGACCTAAACAAGACCATCGAGGAGCACTGCTGCGTCCTCTCCAAGCTGCAGTGGGACGAGGTATGTAACTCGGTAGACGGCCAGATGGGTAATGGCAAGACATGGAACCTGCTCAAGCATCTGCTCAGTGAGACTAACATCAAAACTAACCAGTGGAACGTACTAGCGCGTGACATGCATGAAGCCAAGCAGTCCTCTTCATAAGAGGAGGTTTTGAAGCAGCTGGTGCAAAAGTACCTCCTGTCGACTCGAACCCCGCAACAACGTACCGAGAGTACTCTGGAATGGCCAACACTAAACTGGACGTCGAGATATGCCACGAAGAGGTTCGGCAGGTGCTCCACGGGCTCAACGGAAGGTCTGCCGCGGGCCCTGATGGCATAACTAATAAGACCCTGTGGAACCTGGACGACCGGTCAATCGATTACCTCACCGAAGTCATCAACGAGGGATGGAAGAGCGGCGAGGTCCCCGACCCGTGGAAGGTCGCACACACCGTGCTCATTCCCAAGTCGGGCAGGCCACCCAACTTGGACAACATGCGCCCCATTTCGCTTACATCCTGCGTGGGAAAGGTAGCCGAGCATGTGGTACTCTATAGGTTTACTCGGTACCTGGAAGACAATGGGCTCTACCCGCACACCATGATTGGTTTTCGGGCCAAGCTTTCGACGCAAGACGCTATGAAGCTGCTCAAGCACCAAGTCATCGACTGCAATACTCGAGACACGTGGGCCAATCTCGGCCTCGACTCAACAGGAGAAAGCCTTTGACAATGTTACTCGCTCTTTCATGTTTGCGGTCAATTGCTGAGCTCGGCCTTGGAGTCAGATTCTGTAAATATGTCAAATCGTTCTTGACCCGTAAGAGAGCCACCCTCAGAGTGGGAGACCTTGTCTCCGAGGAAATCGAGCTGGGCTCGCGCGGCACGCCACAGGGGTCAGTGATATCGCCAACCCTGTTCAACCTTGTCACGGTCGGGTTGTCCAAGAAGCTCTCATGTATCCAAGGCATTAACCGCACAATTTACACGAACGCTATTACCATTTGGTGCACAGGTGGCAGTGACGGGCAAGTCGAGCCCTCCTTGCAGGAGGCCATAGACACCACAGAAGATTACCTACGTCCCACGGGCCTGAGGTGTTCCCCAAACAAGTCCGAGCTCCTCCTCTACCAACCCACTAGGGGAGGGCAAAAGCCCAAAAACTGGCAGCCGATCTCGAAGTGTGACATTAAGCTCTACACCGGAGATGGCGGCACAATACCCTGAGTCGACTCCATTCGGGTCCTCGGCATGACCATCAAGTCCAATGGTTCCAACGGCAAGACTATACTCAAGCTCGCCGCCAAGACGGATAATGCGGTTCGGCTGGCTCGACGGGTGGCCAACCGCTACCAAGGCCTCAAGGAAGACAACCTAATCCGCCTGGTCAATGCCTTTGTGCTTTGCCATTTTTCATATGTCGCGGCCATGCACAATTGGCAGCGTGCCGAGCGTGACAAGATCAACGTGTTGCTCAGAAAGATTACCAAGCGAGCCCTCGGTATCCCGATCAGGACGTGCACCGAGCGCCTGCTCCAGCTTGGAGTACACAATACGTTGGAGGAGAATGCCGAAGCGCAGGAGCGGGCCCAGCTCGCGCGCCTTTCGAGCTCCCAGACCGGCAGACATATATTCCGAGAGCTCGGTCACTCTCCGGTTGAAGTGGATGAGATGAGACAGGTGCCCCATGAGATTTCTGACCTCATCAACGTGGCACCGATATCGAGGAATGTCCATCCCGAGCACAATCCTGGTAGGCGACGGGCTAGAGCTGCCACTCTTCTCAAGCAGATTCATAGTGAGGAGCACGGCGTCAGCTTTGCCGACGCGACAGCGTACCGTGGTAGCCGCGCCTTCTCCGCAGTCGTCGTCGACTCCAAACAGCAAATCACCAACTGCGCATCGGTTCACAATGACGATCCGACGATTGCCGAGCAAGTGGCCATCGCCCTAGCCATCCTGAAAGGTGAAAGAGAGGTCATCTATAGTGACTCTAGGTCAACTATTCGCGCTTTCGAAGCGCGGTGTAATCTCCAAGAAAGCCCTGCACATGCTCCAAAGTGGTGGCCGCGATGGTATCAAGCACCACGTACTGATCTGGTTTCTTGCACATGTTGGAGAGGTCCAAGGTGCTCCTTCCAACTTCAACGAGTCTGCCCACGAGGCGGCGCGCGAGCTAACCGACCCCGTTGATTCTGGGCAACGATTCGGGGCCAACGGGGTTGCGGAAAACAGGGACGCGCCTGCCACGTACAACGAAATAACAAAACATTTTTACCTCGCGTGAAGACTACATCCACTTTCTCATCCAAAACTTAATAGGCCACAGGCCCTTACGCTCAGGCTACTGCAGACCGACACGTACCCTAGCCTGAGACCCCTTCACGCTATTTATCCTGACGTGTTCCCCAATGACGCTTGCCCCACATGTGGGGATGTATCCACACTGGTGCACATGCTCTGGGAGTGCAAAGCAATGTACACTAACCCCAACAGTACATCGGTCAGGTGGGAGGCGGCCCTACGCAGCTCCCTCCTGGCCGACCAACTTTGGGCCGTCCAGCAGGCCCGCAGAGCGGCCGATAGGCTTAACCTAATGGTCCCGACAAGGGAGTCGTCCGCTGCGCGCTGACGCGCACATTGCAGGACCGCAATAAAGTTTCACAACCAACCAACCAATCAAAGGGTACTAGGCCTACCCATGAGCACCAGCACGGACAGGCTCATGAGTCTGGGCATGCACAACACCCTCACGGAAGTGACCGAGGCACAAACACTAGCTGAGGTCCCGCGACTCTGCTCCACGAAAACAGGGCAGCGTCTCCTATAGTCGCTGGGATTTCATCATACGGCAGGGAATGAACAGGAGATCTTCTTATCACAAACAATGAAGAGCACGTGTAAGGTGGCACCCTTCCCGCGTAACGTTCATTCACAGTATAATGTTGGCCGGCGAAAGGAATGGGCCAAGTCTCTTTTTGATTTCGTGGCTAGGTCCACGGGCAGTGTAACTTTCGTCGATGCAGTGCAGTACGGTCGCTCCGATCGTTTTGCAGCTGTGGTTGTTGATCATCGCGGTTGCGTACTCAATTCAACTTCCGTGAGGAAAGCCTCTGCCTCCGTAGCAGAGCAGGTAGCGATAGCCTTGGCAATGATGGACCCTTCGCGTCCAGAGATATTTACTGATTCCAGGATTGCCGTGCTGGCCTTTTCCTCGGGAGAAATCTCTAGGAAGGCTGCTGCTATTTTAAAAATCCACGGGTGTAGTAGGCTACCACACAATCACGTGGTTTCTAGCACACATGGGCTCAGAGGTGCATTCCACTCTTCCCAACGCCAATGAAATTGGCCATAACCGTGCGCGAGAAATCACGTGCCGCGGCGGTACGGGCGGGTACGAAGGTGGGTTAGCGGATAACTTTAAAGATCCACTTGGCACTTTTAAGGAAGTGATGTCCGATCATCAGTTGTTTAGGCGGAGGTACCCGCTTCCGCATTCTAAGCTCACTCGGCAGCAGTCGTCGGTTCTTCGGATGCTACAGGCAGGTTCATTCCCATCTCGTTGCACATTCAGCCACTTTGCTGATGGCATAGCTCCAGGATGCCCTAGTTGTGAGGCACATAACTGCACACTCGCTCACATGCTCTGGCAGTGCCCAGTATTACGTGGTGTAAAGTTAAGCACAGAAGAAGACTTGTAGAGGGCTCTTAAAAGCTCCGAGCTCTCAGTCAAATACTTGGCAGTCCAGGAGGCCTGCAAACGGGCGGAGGGCCACGGTCTTCTAGTCCTGGCGAAGACGCGGCCAGAAACTGCGACAAACCCTTCTTCGGGGGGTGTCTGACCAGTTCTCCAGGACCAAATAAAGTTCATTTCACTTCACAGATCGACACGCTACCCTATTGACGTCACCGTGGCTGCTGATCTGATTGGCTGTGAAATTCGTGGCACAGTCCCCGTGAAAGCGGAGCTTAGCCCCAAGCGCTCGAAGGAAGAAAGTAGCTGAGGGTGAATAGTGGTGCGGAGGAGGAAGGTAGTTGCTATTAGTGGCAGCTCCATTAATAAGGGGTGTTTCGATTGAATTATGGTGCCAATGATTTGCTCCAATAGTAGTCTAATCAAAAATGGAATATGAAAGAACTGTTTGAGGGGCCCTTCAACAAGAAAACTGACTGGAATTTTGGCGTGTTTCTAGTTAAAAGAAATACTATGCCCAAAAATATCTAAGAAAGGGGCACTGAAAAGAAAATTTCTAGTTGTAATTTTACTGTGTCCAATGAAAGGCCAAGTCCTCAAGAGCCTAGAAAGTGCACTGCTAGGTACAAGTGTGGACTGAAAATAATTGCATGTTTTTATATGCTGGTGGCAGTTCCTACAGTACCTTGAAGTCATGATAAAAAGTTTTACGTTACATGCTCGCTCAATCGCAGCACTGCTCTGCGGCTCTGTCAACGATGCATAAGTGACCCTTTTGCGTGTTTCGGTACCTTATGTCGTCACAACTTGTCATACTCGTGGGTGAAGTCACCAGAAATATTACTGTAGCCCGATGTCACGCTGGTGCTCATGGCATCAGCAGGTGCACCATGCGAAACTTCACTTTATGTCTAAACAACGTACCACCTATCTAGGCAGCTTTTCTGAAGCTTCTTGTTAGTATGTAGTGATTTGACTACAGGACATTTGTATGGCTGAGTAGACCCAGTTACGAAAATTCGAGTCAGTACCCTTTTGCGGCTCAAGCACGCTAGCAGAGAAACACACACAGAGTGCTGCCGACAAAGCAATTCCTCTGCAGCAGTGCAGCCACACCAAATGGCGGTGAGCCCGTCCATCTTGGATTGAGGCATGGGAGTACAGAGACTGATGTCACTTCCTCTGCAGTTGCTTTTTTGCAAGATGGGGGTAATGCATATTTACTACAGTCTTGAGAGAATTATGTGGGCCCCAGATGGCCTTGTCGAAAGGTACAGACCAGAGTTTTGCTACAACAGTCACAGTCATAAAGTTATTTGTCATAGCGAATGAAATACGCACGCATGTACGAATTCTAATAGCCTTCCCATTAGTACTCCTTCACAGAAGGCCACGTGCTAGTTAGTTTGTGTCTTCCCAGTCTTTTTGTGCCATTTCTATTTTTCAACTTAAACAATCATCTAGCTAGCTCAGCAACAAGTTGTATTTCATACTGATAGATGGAACGTGTGCAGACCAAGAGAAACAAGCAATGACACGAGGACGAAATGTGCTTCGACATTAGAGCGAAACAAGCATGTCCATGGGGTCTGCATAAAACTGTTACAGCATGTGTACATCACTGAAGGTATTACTGGCAAGCACATTAGGCGCACTACGAACAATTGCGTATTAGCCCATCCCTTTCACAACATTAGAATGCTGCTGCGTGGCAATTCTGGAGGCTTGCAATTTTCTTCTAAAAGCACACAGTGCGCATTTTTCAGCTAGTGTGTTCTGGCTTTAAAGACTAGCTTAGTAATAGATAGATAATATATGGCATGCTGCACGGCTGCACCTAGGTACAGGGGTTGACGCTCTCTGGAAACCTAACGTCTCCGCATCCAAAGCCCTGCTCCCGAACCGGTACACGGAAGATTCGGCCAGAAGGCATGCACACGCACAGCTTGTACCAGTATGAAGCATCGCTTGAAGGGTTCTCAGAGCGTGGCAAACCGGCGGCTAGGATACGGATGCCATTGCTGCCGTCCAAGGTAAGGCTTTGGTTCTGCAGAGTGAAATAAGTTATGAACATGAGGTTTGTTTAGCATTTAAAAAACAAAAAAGCCATAGCGGAAAGATCTAGATTATCTTTCCAGACTATTGTACACGGCAGTCGTCGATGCAAGTGTAGGCAGAACTAGTCACTGCTGTTTTTTTGCTCAAACATTATGATTAAACTTCACATAAACGCAGTGCTCGCTTGTTTTAGCACTTGTAGTTAGGGCATGCAATTCATTGCTTTGTTTCTTCCATTCACATTTTTCTTTATATTTTAGGTTTCTCAGTGAAAGCTGGCTCAGTCTTTTATTGACCCGAAGCTCTGTCTCAATCGAACTAGTACAACACGAGCCTTATAATGCAGTTCCACTCATATGATTTTCTATTCTCCTTCACCGTCATCCAAAACCGGAAATTGCATCTAACTCTGACACTAGTTCTTTGCAAATGGACATTATTAATACTATTGATAACTGGTGCAGAACTTGGTGCATGAACCTCAACACTAACAAATGTGAAGTTTTACGCACTGCACGAACTACCGGGCCCCTGCTAACTACGCCTTAAACGATGCTGCTCTAGATTCTGTAACTTTGTGCAAATACTTGGGGATTCACATAACATCTGACTCAAACTCGAAGAATCACATCAACAACGTTATAAACAATACCAACCGAATGCTAGCATACTTACGACACGACTTTAGGCGTGCCCCTCAAGCTGTGAAACTAATAATGTAAAAAACAATAGTTAGTCCAAAATGCAAATATGCAAGATTTATTCGAGACAATTTTCAACTAAACACAACTCACTCACTTGAAATGCTACAAAATAATTCTGCACACTTCATATTATCTAATTACCATTGCACCAGCCGTTTCACGTCAATTAAATGCGCCCTTTAGCTCCAGTGACTTGAATCACGTCACAAAGCATCTCGTCTTATACTTTTTCACAACATATTAAATCATCCACATTTGAAAGCTCAGTTCATTGCAACTCCATCCTATCGCACAGCTCATCTAAATCATCATAAGGTACACGTCATTACCTGCCGCACTAACACTTTCTATCATTCCTTCTTCCCACGCACCGTCACAGGACCGGAACCACCTTTCCTCCAACATGGATTCCATTTCAAATCATGACTTGCTTTCGCCTACCACACAGAATTACTTACATGACGATGCGTGAAGCGTATATTGTGTGCGTATCTATCTCTTTTTTTTCACTCACTCACTCTCTCTCTCTCTCTACAATTGTATTCAGTTGTAAAAGAAAAATAGACAACCACCTTTCTACCACCTTGCGGGCCTTTGCAGAACTCATTCGCATATATTCAGTTATATGGCCTAACATTAAATCTTCATATATCTTGTCTTTATTATTTTGATCACACTGTTTGCTCTTGTTTAGAGCTTATTTTAGATACCCCACTCCCCTCTGTAAAGCTATGTGCAAATGAGGGCAAAATAAATGAAATGAAACAGCGCCACTTTCTGTGCCTGAACAGGAGGCTGTCGAAGAGCTGGCAGTAACACACGAATTCTGCGTCCACCTTAGCTGTGAGGCCACTAAGAGTTCTATATTTAAAATATAAAATCTTTTAGATTTCTCCCCTCTCAATCTTGTTGAGCTGCCGTTGAAACTAGCACAACATTGTACATATTTGGTGCTATGCATGTGTGCGTGTATGTGCCATGTGTTAGCACTTAAAAATTCTTCAAAGTTGAAACTCAATCTAATGAAACCCGATTTCACAAAGTTCCAAATCTAACGAAGATCTGTGTTAGTTTTTATGCTTCCTTATGCAAGTTCCTTATGCAATATTGATAGGATAGTTAAAATAGCGGAGGAGTTTTACAGAAATCTGTACAGTAGCCGGGACAACCACGAATTAAATACTATAAGAACTAGCAGTAACCCAGATGACACCCCACCAGTAAAGATAGAAGAAGTCAGAAAAGCTTTGGAGAGCTTGCAAAGAGGCAAAGCTGCTGGTGAGGATCAGGTAACATCAGATCTGCTGAAAGATGGAGGACAGATTGCGTTAGAAAAACTAGCCACCCTGTTTACGAGGTGTCTCCTGACGGGAAGAGTACCAGTCTTAAAAGAACGCTAACATCATCTTATTACATAAGAAAGGAGATGACAAGGGCTTGAAGAATTACAGGCCGATTAGCTTGCTCTCTGTAGTATACAAGCTATTTACAAAAGTAATTTCTAACAGAGTAAAGAAAACATTAGAATTCAATCACCAAAGGAACAAGCAGGATTTCGAACAGGCTACTCAACAATCGACCACATTCATACTATCAATCAGGTAATAGAGAAATGCTCAAAATATAACCAACCGCTATACATAGCCTTCATAGATTACGAGAAGGCGTTTGATTTAGTAGAAATATCAGCCGTCATGCAGACACTGCGGAATCAGGGCGTCGATGAAGTATATATAAACATCCTGGAAGAAATCTACAGGTGATCAACTGCTACCATAGTGCTTCATAAAAAAAGCAACGGAATACCAATCAAGAAGGGTGTAAGGCAGGGGGACACAATCTCCTCAATGCTATTTACCGCGTGCTTACAGGAGGTTTTCAGAAGCCTAGAATGGGAACAGTTAGGAATAAGAGTTAATGGAGAGTACCTAAGTAACCTGCGCTTCGCCGATGACATTGCATTGCTGAGTAGCTCAGGGGACGAATTGCAACTCATGATTACGGAGTTAGACAAGGAGAGCAGAAAGGTAGGTCTTAAAATGAATCTGCAGAAAACGAAAGTAATGTACAACAACCTCGGAAAAGAGCAGCGCTTTGAGATAGGTAATAGTGCACTTCAGGTCGTAAAAGACTATGTCTACTTAGGGCAGGTAATAACCGCGGAGCCGAACCACGAGATTGAAGTAACTAGAAGAAAAAGAATGGGCTGGCGCACATTTGGCAAGCACTCTCAAATTATGACAGGTAGATTGCCACTATCCCTCAAGAGAAAGGTATATAACAGCTGTATCTTGCCAGTACTTAGCTACGGAGCAGAAACCTGGAGACTTACAAAGAGGGTTCAGCTTAAATTGAGGACGACGCAGCAAGCAATGGAAAGAAAAATGGTAGGTGTAACCTTGAGAGACAAGAAGAGAGCAGAGTGGATTATGGAACAAACGGGGGTTAAGGATATCATAGCTGAAATCAAGAAGAAGAAATGGACATGGGCCGGGCATGTAGCGCGTAGACAGGATAACCGCTGGTCGTTAAGGGTAACTAACTGGATTCCCAGAGAAGGAAAGCGGGTTAGGGGGAGACAGAAGGTTAGGTGGGCAGATGAGATTAAGAAGTTTGCGGGTATAAATTGGCAGCAGCAAGCACAGGACCGGGTTAAGTGGCGGAACATGGGAGAGGCCTTTGTCCTGCAGTGGACGTAGTCAGGCTGATGATGATGATGCAAGTTTTCAATCAAAATATGATCACTTCTATTTACGGGGAAACTACCTGTGTGCGAACTACTGATTCAGGTGGGAGGACATCTTCGAACATTAATGCTTTTGGTGATTCTATTCTCAAGTGTAACTTTGTATGCTTAAATAAAAATCATTCCTTAATTCATTCAAATTCGCAACTGCTGTCTGGGTGATGCAGCCTAGTTGGGCACCTTTAGGGCCTTTTGCTGCATCTCCTAAGACAATTGTAAATTGTCTTGAATAAATGCTGAATGAATTAATGAAAATTTCCATTTCTTGACATTTCATGACATCGCAGTTCAGTATTATCATCAATCCAATTATTGAAACCGACTTGACTCTCAAGGCCACTTCAGCAAAGATTTTCCTGAAATATATAAGAAAAAAGTGGCGACTTCCTTCTAATTTTGATGCAGATGGGCTTTTCTTCAAACAACACTACATCATTGAAATATCTAGGTGCCCTAGCTTTACTTGAGATGGCTGCACACGACGCTTATGTATGTGTTAGCTTCCCTGGGCGTCCTTCAAGTACTCAAGACCTCGTAATAAAAGAATAATTTACTAACACATAATAAAACACACGTCACACAGGCTATACTCAAACGTCACACAGGCCAACTGCACGAGAGTCTCTCCCTCAACGTCGTTGTATTTCTTCACTGTCCACAGAAGGGGACGCGCATTTCCAACGTATGAATCAATGGTCTCTGTAGTCAGTAGCGTTCTTACATACCAGCTAGGGCAGCTGTGGCTGCTTTCATTATTCCATGATTTATGCAACAAATGGCACTGATTGTCTCCCTCACAATATCGCTGCATTCATTCTCCAACCTACCATAGCTTCAGAAGAACACCTACCTTGTCAGTATCGCCCGAGCATGGAGCCTGTCACATCCGAAATACATATCGCATGGAATCCATGCCACAGCCATCGACTGTTATATTACCTTATTATTACTATAGTATTGCACTCGCAGCCACTGTAGCATGGTTTGTGCACGTGACGACCCGTGCATGCTGGGGCGCTGTGACCTCGAGCGATTAGTTTCCTTTTCAAAACATGAATTCACTTTGTTTGGCACAACTTTTGTGCAGAACAATGGCAATCTAGCAGGATTTGTCTTTTTAGAGCAGCTTGGCACAACTGACGCAGTTATCACACCACTGCATGTTACAATATTTGATATCAAAAAACTTGAAAATCTATTTCTAGATTTCAAAATTTCACCATTTCCCAAAATCATTTGAATGCAGTCATCCCTTAGCTAGATAGAGTTTTGACAATATGAAAGGCAACAAGGTGAATTGGTTTCACACTTGTTTAACATCTCGACCTAGGTATGAGGGTGAAAAATGAGGATATAGAGGCGTGTAGTTGCTGTGTGTCTCTTCGACACCCTTGGTTTTTGGACTGGCCACTTGGCAAACATGCAAAAGTGAACTAGTAACCATGACACATTCGGTAAAATAATGAAAAGATTATTTCTTTCAAACCTTCCCTTCATCCAGCAACGGCACTCTGCGAGACAAACTGTTGCCATTAGCTTAAGCTATTTTAAGAATAGCGGCACACAGGAACAAGATGACCCTATGAAATAGCACCGCAATGCTTCAACAGTGAGGCATGCACACCACTTCCTTGAATATGTGTTGAGATTAGCTTCAAACAAAACAGTTCAAGAATAACATTTATGGTCATAAATGTTCGAGGAAAAAAAAAAGAGAGAGAAGCATCCATCGAAGCAATATCTCTCGATGAGCAGCAAGTCTGATTTCATTCCCAAACAAGTGATAACATAATGGCTATTACTTTCTCTTATATTGTGGAGCTGACACATTGTAGCTGTTACGTGTTGAATACAACCGAGCTACTGAGGACTTCTAGGAAAGACATGACTGCATGAGGGAGATCTGTTCAGTAGGAATTTCTTGAGCTCCTCGGGACTTTTCTTCGTAGCACGTACAATACCATTTACCGACTGCTGATGGATAAATCACCACTTTTTTTGAAATTTGAAATATATTCCCAATGCCTTAAGTGGAGATAGCTGCTCTTGCAAACCAAAACGTGTGTAAATTTCACTAGTTGTGTGAGCTCTTTAGCAAAATGTAAGCCGATTAATCATATCTTTAACAGACCGTGCATCTAATACACTGGGATGCCTCGGCCAGGGTGCCCCGGTGGCCACCACTGCCTCTTGTTGGGGTGCCATTAAATTGAGCTTCCCTACATAGTAGTGTCCTCTTTAGTGACAGCAATATCATGCACTTGTGCCCACAAGCATACGTGAAGATCTTATGGTAAGCGTTTAGAAGGGTTGCTTGTTGCGCAAGTTGGTGCATACTAAGTAAACTGCAAAGGGCACACAAAACGTCAAAATCGGAAAAAGCGGAGCAGTAGAAACAAATACAGAGAGTTAGCGCAACCTCAGTTTATCTCACCAGGAAAAACTGTTTCTTTTTAGTGCAAAGGTGATTTACTCAGATTAGCTAGCTAGATGTTTTCGGTTTCTTTTCTGCGCATGCGATGTACGGACTTGGGAGGAAGGTTGTTCCGAAATAAAAGTCAGTTGTTAGTGCCACGTCTTTGCTCTCTGTATTTGTTTCCACTGCTCCGCTTTTTTCGATTTCGACGTTTTGTGTGGCTTTTGTAGTTTACTAATTATGGTAAGCACCATGGTAAAATGTTCCCTGCTTGCCAAATAGCTCTAGACAGATGAATTTAAGAGCTCTTACCACACTCCTCAGAAATATGTTGTGTCCTGCTGACCAAGTGATGTTGTGCCCTTCCATATCCAGCCCTCCATTGCCTTTGAGTAGAATTTGGTAAGGAGATGAAATGATCAGTGGATCACGTTTGGCACTGGTGAGCTAGAAAAAAATGTTTGACTTGAGGAAAACAAGCACTTAACTCTGTTTTACAACTTATGCGCTGGAGATTATAGAAATCACTCCACACTCAACAAAAGCTACTATGACCTTGGATATACACAATGGCCATTTCAATAAACTTGGCTGGCTATCTGAAAACGAAAGCTACTCAAACATAGGCTGTTATTGATTAAAGCATTACCTGAAAATCGAAAGTCTCATTTACTGACATTCAAGGCAACTTCGAAATAAAAAATATGTTTAATAATAAATGTAACCATGAAGCAGGTAGCCATAGAAGGCTTTCAATGTTTTTCTGGCATATATTGAAGTTCTAAAAAAACTTCATGAGGGAATAATATTTTGACTTATTAGTGGAGCTTAGCACAAACAATATTAGACCTTATGTTATCCCAGACTCTGCATACCCTTAGCAGTATTGCAGAGTTGCCACACCGGAATTAGAATGATCCCGAAATCATTCCACATTTTCGCAACTTGGAATAGAATGGGGACAAAGCTTGGAGGAACGGAATAGGAATGGAATTGAATGCCTTTATACGGAATGGAATGCAAATAGAATGAGGTCTTTTTCCGAAAGTAGAGTATGTTTTCGTCTACGAGCTGTTTTTCAAGCTTGAAACATTAGTAAGACATAGCCTCGAATTTATAAATAAAGCAGTATTTTTACATTGGCTTGGCTGCTTACAAGCAAAGTACATTCACAAGCAGAACACCTACTAGAATTCTGTCCTTAATGTGAATGTGTTGCGGTAAGTTTGCCTCTAATTTTCTCGTCACCGCCTTTCGCTACCGTTGATATCCGTCGTGCAGAATTACAGTGGCGTACCCCCCTACCCCCTTGCGATTTCGTTTTCCCTCAGCAGTGCTTCAGCCGCCAGCTGTCCCCCTAAGCTTCATTTTTTTATTGCAATAGCAATTATATAGACACTATCTGCTGGATTTCGCCACCGGCATCATGCACCGTATATGTATACATATCTATATATATGAAAATGGAAGAAAAAAAATCCAGAAAAAAAGACTCCGGCCCGCAGTATGGAATGTGGGACCTCCGCGTCATGAAGGCGAGGCGTTAAACACTGCACTCACGAGGGTCCTCCCTTCACGTTCAGAAGCTCTCATCTATCACGCTTACTTTGACCCATGGAGATGAGGGGAGTGGACAATCTCTCACACGCCCTTATCTCCGAATGGGGAGGATCCTACGTCTTGGCTGGCGTTGGGCTTGCACTAGAACGATTCTGTTGTGGTTATGGGGCGCACAAAGGTCACTGCAATTGTTGCATAGCCTCCGTTCGCGAAAAGGGCGGGCGATGTATCAACTGAGACGCTTATTCGCGTTCATCTGTACCTGTGAGTACGTTTCGTGCGCCATTTGTGCGTGAGAAACGTGGGGCTTGTTTCAATCTGCTTGCCAATCTGCTGTTGACCTTCCAATTTGTTGCTATCGCGTTCATTGCTTCACCTTTGCGGCAAAGCTGTGAGTTTTTTTTTTTGTTCTTGCTTCTGTCCCTGTCTGTGACAGACGCATATTCGAAAAAGCGAATCTCTAAGTTGTGCATCTTTCAACGACTAGAACGTTGTGAGATGCTAAAAACTGCCAGGCTCATAGCTTAGGGCCTTCCTTCGCTGCCTAAAGTTCACCTTTAGGTGGTTCAGCTGCTCCTAGTTTTTGTTCAGCTTGTTTTTCGTCAGCCGTTGATTGACGGCTGGCGTTCTTCAAGTGAGTTTGGCACTTGCTGAGGCAAGCTATGGTGCTCTAGTAGACAGGATCGACACCTTCTTGCCTCAAGATACACTGTATTTATTCACACAATTCTCACACTCTCACAATTCTTGCACCCCCGAAAACTGCCGTAATAATGTCGCCTGCTCGTTCCAGCCACTGATAATGATAGTGCATGCCATCTGGCGCCACCTCTTAAGCATTAATTGTAGTAATATTGCACAGAGATTCAATCTAATCTAAGCCAAGCCAAAGTGGCAAGTGTGCGTTGCGGCGTGTTTCGCATGTTGTGTTGGTAATCTTGTGACATTATGGGGCGATACTGAAGCTACGCGGCTGCTTTCAAGATGAAAGTGACAGATCATACACTAAACAATGGCAATAGGGCCACCGGTAGGCCCATCGGAGTCTACGAGTTTTGAGTTCACTACTGGTGACGGCAGCTGAAAGCCACCAAGACGCGTTGGACCTGCCATGTGCATAAGACTGGGATTGATGGTAAACTTATTTCTTCCGAAGGAAACTGCGGATGATTCTGTTGAATAGCCATCAGTCCAATACTGCAATCCTACGCTTGCTTTTTAAAAGCTCCTGTTCAGTGACAAACGCTACCGTTACGCCCGCAACACCCACAAGCTTTGCATATGATATTCTAATTCTCGACTATTTGCCTGCACTTTTTGTGTCTCAAATAAATCTTGCCTTGTGTTGAACCTCTGCTCTTATTGTTGATGAGGTGAATTTTAATTAGTACTTCTCAAAGCTTGCTGTTAGTTGCTGGTGTGAGACTCCCAATTTGTGGCCACTTCGTTTTCCCTTTCGCTCTGTACGTTTTCATGAAAAATTTTCCCCGTGTTATTCTCGCAACCTCCAACTCTGCACCGGTTTTCCCCCCAAAAAAGTGCGAGGATTATGCGAGCAAATACGGTATAGCATGCCAATATTTCTATTGCTAAACTAACATACACAATCCTCCAGTCCAAAGAAAACTGTGCATGGGCCTAGATTGATATTGTTATGAGGAAGAAACTATGTACTGTTATGACCGTCATCATTATTGAGGTTTTTCGGCCTTTGTGAACTGGACAAAAATATTTCAGTGCATTCCAAGCAAGGACGTGCCATCAAGACGGGTTGATTTCCTGTCAGCAAAATGTGAACAAGGGATCCAAGACCGGTTCGCGCAAAAAAAAAAAATGCACGAGCCAAGAAAAGTTATTGTGAGCTCGACTCTATGCAAGGTTTTCGAAGCAAACAAGGAGGCAGCTGGGCCATTTTCGAGGTCACCGTGGATCTGAAAAGGCCGGGACCAGACTGGTATTTACAGTTTGGGCTGAAAGCTAAAACTAAACTGGTTGTGGCTGCACCTTGCGAGGAGAAGCGAAGTCCCAGAAATTCGTAGCTAAGCCGCAGCTTCTAGCAAACAACAAGGGATTGAATGTGTGGTTTAAGGAAAGGAAAAAGGCACTATCTGCTGCAGCCCTTGAGGGAGCCCGCTTCAGTGACGAGGGATTAGTCGAGCGCTCCTCCTTCCCCCTCTCTCTATAGGATCCGCTGAAGGGAGTGGCATGTTTCGACGAAAAGCTGTCAGGCCACTACATTGTCCTACCCGAACGCAGTCAGGCAAGTGTGGCACGTGTACCGGGTGCCGGTTTTTCGAACCTCATTCAACTGCCAGAAGAGTTCTTGGAAACAGAGTTCATGTAAGATCATCCAACGTGCGCAAAATCCTGGTGACGTGTGCAAAACGTCGGTGAAGTGCGTTTGTGACTATGTTTGGGCATCGTGTAGACTGTGCCTTCTTCACATGCATTGTGTGGTCTTTCACCGCCTTCGTGGGTGGAGCACCTAGACCATCGAGCGCCGTATTGACTGAAGCCACCGGCAATGCTTCCAGGGTTGGCAACGCGGCGCTATATAAGAGGAAGACTTTTGTATAATTTCAGTTCAACAGTTCTCCTGGTCAGTTCTTCAGACTTCTTGAGTTCTTACTAACCATGTAAATAAATTGTTGTCGTTCTTACGAGCGCCTCATCTCATTTGTTGGACGATGGGTCTTAGGACGGGAGCCCGCTACCAGAATGAGAGCCGCGGGACCCGAAGTCGCAACAGTACACAAGGAGACGTACAACACTGCCGCATTCCAAGTGCGCTCCGCTGAGCACTTTTTCGTCGTCCTCCTCTGCCATATTCACCCATAACAATACCCGCCGCCGGCAAAGGCACAGTCATGGTGCAATTGGTTTTTGTGGCGAGAGGGCTACAGTATCAGACACGATACATGAATTATATCAATCGTTGTTGAGGTAGTCGGTGTCCTAGGAGCGAGTGGAGCTATCTCATAGGTCACGCTAGTGACGTTCATATGACACGTTAAGGCCACCATGTCAGGACATCAGTTTTTCATATAGACGAACACGCTGTGATGGTAACCACAGTAAGACCAGTGACCCCTGTGAGTATAGACCCCATGTGAGGTGGCGCGCGCATGCTAACAGCGTCATTCATTTGAGGATCAAACACAGCAATCAGCGTCCACAACTGAAACCATTTGCAGTTTTTGCAGGATTCATCAAGTTTTGTTTAATAATAAAACAAATATCATTATGGTCGTTAAGTAAAAGCATGCAAATTGTCCAATATGAAAAGGAGTTTATTGGCGTGTGTTGCGATGGTGGCCGTTCGATGAAAACACGATCGGGACAGAGCAATGGTCAAGCAGACGCCGGCGACGATCAGCACGAGGCGAGCGAGAGATGCCCAGGACCTAGTACCCAAGCGGTGGCGATGTTGCTTGCCAACGATGCGTTTTATTTTTCACAATTTTCCCCCACCGAAAAAGAGCCATCCTGGCGACCTAAAAGTCTGGAGGCAGAGGGCTATGATATGGCTTAAGGCAGGCGACGTGGACGATGTCACGTCTACGAAGGCGCATGTTGTCAGATAAGAAAAGTGGCTCAATGAGAAAATTAACCGGCGAGACTTGCTCCAAAACGCGGTAAAGACCCTCTAACTTCGAGACAAGTTTTGAGAAAAGGCCAGGAGTTTAATAAGGAACATCGAGCCATACAAGTGATCCCAGGGAATAGCTATGGCATCGTGAAGAGTCGGCGTTGTTTTATTTCTGGCGCTGCTATTCTTGTGACGTAAAGGTGCGTGCGAGTTCATGGCACTCTTCCGCTTTTCGGGCAGCTTCGAACACAGATGGGCATTCGGATGCTTCAGGACGGTCTGGAAGGAGAGTGTCGAT